CATAGCCAGGAGCAACAGATAACTCTTCCCTCTGAAAAGGAGTCCCCTTGACTCTCCATGGCTCTCCTGGCAGCACTCTCCCTCCACACAGAAACCCAGCTCACAAAGAGCCACATTTCTGGTTTGCACCTGCCATTACGTATTTCAAAGGCCTCTTCTCTTCAATCAGCACTCTCTACCATGGCACCCAAGAGGTGGTGCAGCCTGTGGCAGCTCAGCTTTCAGTAACAGCTTCAGAAGTGGTGGTGCACTGATGGAACCACCCAAGCATCAGTGGGAAGAACCCTGGGGAGACCTGGCCTGAAGGAGAGGAGGCCATCAGAGAAGCTGGAGGGCAGCCTAGCAACCGCCTGCACATGCAGGGACATTGGGCAGCTTTGGAGGTAGCACAAGAAGTGCTGAAGGAGTGCCCTTGCCCCACACACGCTCCCCAGTGGATAACCCATTGCAAAAGCATGCTTGGTAAACCCTTCAAGTCCCACACTAAGCCACTTTTCAGAGGCAATGAAAACTTTGACTGCTTATCCTTTCATTGTTCAACCTCCTTTCAATAAATCTTTCATTTCAGGGTCCTCTTTTTAATTTCAGCAATATCAACCACAGACCTTACTCTTCCTTTTCCTAACCCTTTCCCCCCTCTCTCTAGGAAGCACAGAAGAGTCCTCACAGTGCCTTGTGTGCCCTGTCATCATCAAGGAGGCACTTCAGCTCCGTACACCCAGCACTCAAAACTAATGCCAACTGGCTGCGTAACCATACAAAGCCGCCGGACTTCCCACGATTGAGCTGCGTCACGAGGCCTTCCCCACAGTGACCTTCAGGGGCCAGAGGCAGAGACTATCCTCAGGCTGTGCATTCCGAGGCAATCCTTAAGCTTTCTTCAAGGCCGTCAAGGTTCCCCTGGTGCCAGTGAGATGCATACGTCCTTCACAGAGCTGAGGACAACAGGTTCACTCCTCCGGGGTAACTGCTGGTTCATCCTTGCCACTTGTGTGAGGTTGGGGACAAAGATACTCGCCCGCAGCCCCTGAAACCAGTGACTGCTCTTAAGGCATGAGCACTCTGCAGGTTTTGAGGTCTAAATGTCCACAGCTCACCAGCATCACCAGTGCTTTTAAGCAGCAGCACTTACTTCATCTGATAAAGCCCCAGTTTGTAGAGAGTTCAGAATAAGCACAGACTTCCCATTTACCACCCCTCCCTCCCAGACCGCTGGGGACAGCACTCTTTCAAGGCTTTTAATAACTTTATCTGGAAATCACATCCTTTTTACAGAGGAGGGCTCATCTCTTTCACTGAGGGACCACAACGAAAGCAAGTGTCGTTACGAGCTTCCAGACAGAGTGCTGCCAGCCTCCAGAGGGTGATGGCAACCGGTCCCCAGACCCTACTGCTGCCGAAGCCGTGCTCCCCTGCTGCAGGTCAGCACTGACAGCTCAGAACCTGAGCAGCAAAGCTGCTTTCTCCTCAAGGCAGCTACGGAAATCCCAGGCTTGCAAAATAGTGAGATTTTGCCCGCTTGGAGTTGTTTCATGTTTAATGTGAATTAAATGCCAATAACTAAGGACTCAATCCCTAGTTCAAACTTCTAATTCTGCAAATAAGTGAACGATCACCTTTCTGTGTCCCACTCTGGCTGAAAGGCAATCCTTCCCCCCTCTTAAGCAGTAGTCCTCTTCAAATTCCAGTGGTGTTCATGTAAACATCCCATCAAATAAGCTTATCTTTACTATTATTAACTTAGGATTTAAATTAATAATGCAAGGCTTTTAAGTTTATAAGGAAAATAAGTAACACACCTGCCTAGACAAAAATTATTAGTGATATTTAGTTGGGTTACAAATACAAGTTACAAGTTGCTATTCAGTAAGTAAATTAATTCGTTATTTATATTATGTCCGAGTACTCCCTGCAAGCACATCTTTTGTGGATTCCCATTTCAAAAGTAGAATTTCACATTTATTGCTACTTTTAGAGCAAAAGTTTGGGCTGGTACTTTTTATATGAGAGAAGGCATTACCCTTTGAAGGCCAAAAGGGATTGTGAAGTAAAAGCTACTGACCAAAAAAGCCTATGCAGCTACTGCTGTCAAGTTTGAAAGATTATTTTTAGCTTAGACAGCATGACGGTAACACACCCGGTCATAATTTAACCCACAAAGTGATGAAGAATTCATCCCCCCCCATCTAAAGTTATGCTAGTAATGGAGATGTTCAGTAAGCTCCTACTATTTTGTACCTTCTGCAATACGTAGCCCTTAGTGCAGGGAATGCATTTCCTTCACGAGTGAAATACAAGGAAAATACAAAAGTTAAAAAAAAACCCCAACAAAACAGTGAGCAAATAAACTAAATTAAGTTTGTTCTACCCCGTGGAGAAATTTTAGCTTATTGAATTCTGCTCACAAAATGTTGATTCACCTAGAGGATGAAAAACTCTGAGTGGGCTTTATCCTTAGTTGTGTAAGCATTCCTGAATGTAACAAGTACTTAAGAGCTCACAAAAGAGAAACAGTATTTCTGTATTTATAAATTTGTATTTAAAAAAATTAATCTGTATTAATCTGTATTTTAAAAAAAAAATCCATTGTGAGTCACTTAATCTTCCACATTAAGTGAAATTTTTGAATTCTTAAAAAAAACAAAACAAACTACAAAAGTAAATGGTTTGCAAGCATAACTAGCATAATTTTTGTTTCTAATGGGCAATGTTAGCTGCAGAGAAAAAAAATCCAGGCTTTGGATAAAGTCCTTAGACTAAGTTTGCCTTCCCTTTTTTTTTTTTTCCATCAGATGTGGAA